CTTAAACTCAGGATCCCTTGAATTTTTTTTTTTTTTTTTTTTTTTTTTAAGAACGCTTACCACCATTTTTGAAACCATGCCTAGGATATAAATGAAAGACTTCATGAACTGAAGGACAGCAATGGACAAAAAATCCTAAGCAGTAAATTTTAAACAGAGAATAAAAAATATGCAGGTTGAATAGTGGGAGAAAGAAGATAATACCTAACAGTGGTCATCTTTTCAACTCGAGTTTCATAAAGTTTAAAAACTCAAGAATCTATACATTTTATTATATCCTTTAAAAATATTCTCAGGGATATATTTGAGCTCAGTGGTTCCCAAACTTTTTCCTCCCACGACCTCCTTTGGGATCACCTCCATTAACATGGCCCCCAAGAATCTACGAGGTAGGCGGTTTGAAAATTAGAAGCACAAAAAATCATGTTTAGACCACCAAAGTGATAGGAAGGGGAGCAAGTGGAGCTACTGAAACTCAGCAGTGGGAGGAGGGGTGCCCTTCTCCTCCCCCCCTCCGCAGCTAGCACCCAGTGCACCTACTTCCTCAATGGCTAGCACGTGTACCCCCTGCCCAGCTGCCTGTGCCCTGTCCCTCCTGCCCCCAGTGGCTGGCCACATGCTCTGAATCCTGTCCTTCCCTGGGCTAGGTGTCTCCACCAGGTGCTACCTACCCAACTCAGGTGGACAGCCCAATCTTATGCACCATATCAGCCACTCCTCCCACCCATGTCGAGAAATGGTCTGAAGTAAATGATGAAATTCAGTGAAGACAAATGCAAAGTACTCCACTTAGGAACGAATAATCAGTTGCACACATGCAAAATGGGGAATGACTGCCTAGGAAGAAATACTGCGGAAAGGGATCTGGGGGTCATAGTGAACCACAAACTAAAATGGGTCAAAAGAGTAACATTGTGGCAAAACAAAAAAAGCAAACTGGAATAAATTGCCTAGGGAGGTTGTGGAATCTCCATCATTGGAGATTTTTAAGAGCAGGTTAGACAAACAACTGTCAGGAATGGTCTAGACAATACTTAGTCTGCCATGAATGCAGGGGACTGGACTAGATGACCTCTTGAGGTCCCTTCCAGTCCTATGATTCTATGTGCATGGGGGAGGAAACATAGCCAGGGCCCACTCTCGCCTCCATAGATATTGTAGCAGAAGAAAACATTGGAGGGTGGAAACATACATCATTCCCCTCTCCCCAATACTTTCCTTCTCCCTCCCCCAACATCCCACAAACCTCCTGGTACTCTTTGGGGGGTCGTGACCCATACTTTGTGAAATGCTGTTTTAGCTCATAGGGTCATATAAACCTGATTCAGTCTATTGCTAGGTGATTAAGTAGTAACCTACTACTGACAAGTAAGAAAAGCTCTGTCATATGATCCTGTATCAGCCAACTGAACTGAATGATTTTTCCCCATTTGTTAAATGTCACTCAAGCAGAGATGCGGTCTGAATTTCATTATAAAAATACAGATAAAGGAACCTGGTTCTCAAAGATGTCCTCTTGCATTTCCTTCCACATTTCTAACTCAAGTGCTGCTTTGTATTCAAGAGTTTCTCGTGGCTCTGGCTCAGTTTCTGGGACATGATGAGGCTGAGATGAAGGGACCTGCTGCTGCCCAGCACCTAAACACTAATTATGAAAACAATGCAATTTTATTTTTTCCATCAACTTTAATTGAAACTTTAAAGAAAAAGGATTATGTTAATGGACTGTATAATTTACCTGAGAAGAATCTGATACCAGAACTTCATGCATTTTTACAAGCCCATAATCTTCCAGAGTCACAGTGTAAGAAAGTTCTGCTATCCTATTGTTTGCCCTAAAAATTACATAAGAATGATTATTCTTTATTTTTGTTGGAAGTTGCCATAAAACTTACTGTAGTTCATTTACGGCAAGGTAGAACAGCAAGGCTGTAGAACAGCAAGGCTAAAAGGTTGAACAAGTTTGCAGTGTAGTCTGTTCGAATCTCTTCCAGAGCATAGCATGCTGTATGTGAGAGTCCTAAAACACTATTAATTTACAGAACTTACAGCAATAAGTACACAATCTATCACTAATTCAAGTAACAGTTAAGTCTTGCTCCTGGGAGGG